CAGGGCTTCTGCGAGCTCAAAGAGGCCCCTGTGATCTGGGAGAGGTTCAGGTCAGAGGAGCACAGAAGACGCTCGGGAATCCCAGCCCTCTGGTGTGCAGGGAAGACATCAGAACCTCGTGACCGTCCAGGGAGCTGTCCCTATAAACTGTTGGCAGATTGATGATGAAATGGCACCTTGAGTCACAGAGCAGTGCTGTAAGGTTGATTTTGCAGGATAATTATGAGATTGGTTGTATCCCACCCATCACTCTTCTTGTCCCTCCTTATCCCTTCCTCCTCCCACTTTACAACCCTCTCCGAAGCACTCACCTACACACCCAGATTCACACACGTACACCATTGTGCCATTGGCAAGAAGCGCCTGGAATCCAATATTGTAGAGAGGAGAGCCAGGAACCAGAAAGTTTTGCCGCTAGTTGCTCAGTGATGTAAGCCGGCCGGTAAAGACCTGATCTCTCTCCATCTGTATCTCTGTCCCCCTCTCAACTCAGTTTCCTAACCTGTCAAGCTGGGAGACTAATTTCTCACTCCATCTTTCTCACAGGCCAGTCAAAGGGATCCATTGGGGCAATGGAGTTCCCAAGTCCTAAGCCCTGGTCTCGAGCCCTACTCAACTCAGAATCTCTGGGGATGGGTCCCTGATCTGTTCTCTTGAGCGATGCCCAAATGAGTCAAGGTGCAGCATAGAACCCCTAGCAGAAAGCACAATACAAAACCATTCATAGCTTCATTTGAAATTGTGTTTGTGAGCCCTTTGGTGTGCCAGTCACTGTGTCGGGGGTTTTGGATAAAGCAGGGAAGATGGAATCAATCCCTGTTGTAGGAACTTAAGTCCTGGGCGAGACAGCCTCTATCAAAGGAAAACACAGAGCATGAGAAGCACATGCAACACGGATTTACTCGACTCTGGGAGCTCAAGGAAGGCTTTGCTGCAGAACTTAAGTCTCTCAACTTCCCTGCTCATCTGTTCAGGGCTGCCTTTGCTCAACAAGTCTTCTTGGGGACTCTGCATCTTAGCTTCTGGTTGGTCACAGTGGTCACCATGCAGTCCTTGGGAAATGAGGTCACAGGTTCCAAAGGGTTTTGGGATGAAACTCCAGACGGCTCTGTGTGCTGCGACTTGTGCCTGTCACTCCTCCTTTCTGACCTCAGTTGCAGAAGCAAGACTCCTTAGCATTTTGCAGAGCCTTTGTGCCTTACCTCAGTGGTTCGAGTTTGGTGGGAAGATGCCTGAACTCAAGTCTTGGCTTTGCCACTTGTGTTCTGTGTGCTGTTGAGCAGTTTCCTTCCCTTCTTTGAACCTCAAGGTTTTTTTGTCCGTAAAAGTGATACTTTGGACTGTAAAATTTATGGGGTTGTAGTGAAGACTGCCCTGGGGCAGGAACCAACACTCCATCCCATTTAAAAAATGAAAACAGAGAAAAGCAAGCTTGGAGCTTCTGCTTCTAGCACCATCAACCTAGACATAATTCTCAGGCTCTAAAGTTTAGGTATTAGAAAGCTAACAGACACGCTACTCGATGCAGAGCTAAAGTTGAGAGAAAATAGCACGGAGCTGCGAGGATCAGGAGGAAGAAAAAGAGGGAAAAAATTAAATTAGGAGCTGAAACAGGACGACGGGAAAATAAGCACAGAGGCTGGGCATCGGGACAGAGAGAGCACAGCCTTGGGTGCATGAGAAGACAGGGAAGAGAGGAGAGGTGACCGTGAGAGGCAGGAGGCCTGGGCAGCTGGACTGAAGTCTGGTATCATAATCCTGGACCCTGGAAGGTCCTCCTCCCAGGCTGTCCCACTCTCACCCTGGATCAGTCCCCATCCCTTCTGATTGATCACAACATATACTGACTCGTCAGTGCCAGGCCTTACCTGTTGGT